AAGACATCATTCCCAAAGATTTTTTTCCAACTGCTCACAGCCGAAACATTGCTTAACATGAAGTCATGATCCTGACAGAAGTAGACGTCAGCAGTTTATTTCATAGTATGAAGAGAAGGATTTGAGCCGAACGCAGCCGAGCTGAATAGATTAGTTAGTGAAGGTTCACTCTGTGAGGGATTTTTAATGTAACGTGTAATATGCTCGCTTTAGAAAAACGATGAAAGGAAAACGCTTTATCTGTCGTTCTCTTTTCAGTCAAACTTTGCAAACGTAAGAGTCCCGAGGTCAAGATGTTCAGTTCAACTGCTCAATGAAAGGAAAAAAACGTCACGCTAGTAGAAACGGTTATATTTTTGTGGTATACTGCACCACTGAGCAAAATCCATAAAAAGCTATAAAAAGGAGGTTGGGTCACTGTGTGCACTGACATTTACGGTCTGTGGTTCGAACAGCCTTATGTTTCTTCACTAACTCTGCTGCAAGGCCTTAACTTTGCTCTCTGCACGAAACCCACTCAACTAGCACAGTTACCACCTGAGCCTTTGTGGGGGGAGAGAAAAAAACCCTAAAGGGAAACATTAAAAGCCAGAATTTCACAAAACGTTTTTCCATATGACATCTCCTTTGAAATGTCACTCAGAATATTGGGTTGGGCTAAATCCACATCTGGGAAATAATCCATTAACAACTGTATGGAAACACTGCTGTGAAACAGATTTGACGCAGCGGGCCTTCGGCCACAGCCTGCCATCCTGGCAACGCCCCGCTGAGCATCAGACTACTCAAACTATGCAGTCTCATTTATTTCACAAGACAAGCCAAAGATATTTGTCTTCAGTGCGCAGTAAAATTAATTTCCTGAAAGACAACATAACACTGTAGAAAACAGGAATGCTTCTGTCCAGGGACCCTGAACATCAAAACACAAGAATTAATTTTTCATCACCTCGGGAGGCAGAAGAAAAAAAAAAAAGGAAACTCTGGCACAGTTACACCAAAGCTTAGTGAGATTACTATCTCAGCATTTCAACAGTGATCCAGTGCTGGTAGCAGGACTTTTACCCTACCTGATGCTGCTGGATGATTCAAAATTCTCCATCTTTGGTGTCTTGAC